CAAAGTATGTTGGATGAGAACACTCTATCTGCCCCATGTACATATATTTGCCTACATTATACATAAAAATTAAAGACATAAAACACCTTCCTTTTAAAGCTGTACTCCAGGCAGATATAAAAGAGACGAATCCAGCTAGGTACGTTATTAAATGTAGTTTTACATGCAAGCAGTTAAAATACCTGAACCTGACTTGATATCAGCCTCTAGCAATCCCCTGTACAGCAGAGCTCAGACGGGTAGAGGGAGAAGCAGCATAAGGATCCAACCATTGTGAAGCAATGCTCATGCCCTAGCAAAGGGGCACTCTGATAGGAGGAGATAACAGAGTGATAAAGCGATGAGCTCATTAGTCTGCTGCTTCTACTTTTAGTGTACATTCATGAGACCTGTAAGTGTTTAACTGTACCAGATCCTGCAGCTGTTTTGTGTGACCAAACTGAGTAAATCTCAGGACTAGATGGACAAAAATCCAAATTGTTTGCCAGATAAAACAACTCCTTTTATGTTTCTTTCATTTGTGTATTTTGCTGTTTACCTGGAGGTCAGCTTTAAATAAACCTTTATTGAGACACACATAGAGGCTGATATTGTTGACCTTTCATTTGGAAAAAAAAATGCTTCTTGTCTGCCATACGACCCTCTGAGTTCAGTTATTTGAGTCAATAATCCAGAATAAGTATGCGGCTATGGAATGCTGACTTTTCTGGTGTGCATACTTGTTTCAGATCAGTGACCCAGAAGATATAGAAGCCAGTAGGTCAGCTTGGCAGGCAGGAAATGAGCATGTGCAGAAGGGGGTCAGCAATAGCAGGTAGGAAAGGTTTAGTGTAATACAGTGTAGCCAGTCAATGTTAACCTAAGCATGTGTTGTATTAAAATTAAACTTATTAAGGATAAACTGCAGTGAGACCCGGTGATCTCAAAGCTGACCAAAATAGGGCACAGATATTGCCCGTTATTAAGTAGAATGACATTTTGCTAAAGTGTTTATTCGCATGAAAATCATTTAAAGCACCAATACAACAAGGTCTGCTTTCAACATGAAGCATGAGTAAAAATATTTACACATGTAGGGATTAAGATGAATTCATATTTACAGTGCCGATCTATAATTAGGAGCTGTTTTGAAGAGAACGGCTCTTCTTAAACAAGAGAACTGGAATGTAAACAGTTGCAATTAGCCTGCAAAGGAAAGATCTATGGAAGTGAAATCTGTGCTTCTTTCTCTGAGCTGTTCATGGTGGCTGAAATGGCGTCCGTTTATATTTTGTCTAGAATTAATTACAGGTAGTCTCGGTGTGCTCCGTTCCATCATATTGGATGCTGTCACTGTGAACTGGTAAACTGGGCTACTATTGAACTCCTAAAACTGTTAAACTGTAATGAGAACTTTACTTTCACAATCTGTATGAAACTTTTCAGCATTTTTATTTCTTAGAACGCCAGTCAGCACCTGGGTTCTTGTATGTCTTTGATGCTCCTAAAAGTTAGAGCTCCTTGCCATAATTTCTGACCCTGTTCTTGTCCACCTGGGATTCTTTGGGGTTTCGATTTACCTTTTGTATGTATAGCCACTCCTTGCATAGTTCGTCAGATTTAAAAAAAAGATACAAGTCCATCGAGCTCAACCTATAGAGATAAGAGAAAGAAAACCTAAATCACATCGCTGTGCCAACAGTTACCCACCGTTGATCCAGAGGGAAGCAAAAAAAACCCTATTATTATTATACAGGATTTATATAGCGCCAACAGTTTGCGCAGCGCTTTACAAAATACGGAGGACGTTACAATCACAATACAATTTAAGACAAGATGGTAAGGAGGGCCTTGCCAGTGAGGGGTTACAATCTACCCTATAAAGCATGGCTTAATTTGTGCCAACAGGGGAAAGAAAATGATTTTCTTATCCCTTAAGGTAATCAGATATTGCCAGGATCAACAATCTCTGGTGTATATTAAACTGATAAGTAGTCAACATTTAGTAATTTTCTGTGCATTTAGGAATGCATCTAGATTTCTTTTTAAACAGTTAACTGAGCTAGTTAGAACTGCTCCTGAGGGAGGCCATTACACATTTTCAAAGTTCTAACTGTGAAGAATCCTTTCCGTATGCAAAGGTTAAACCTCTTTTCCGACAGACGCAAAGAGTGCCCCTTTGTCCTTTACAGTGACCTTAAAGAGAATAATTTGGCACCAAGCCATTTATATATTTATACATGGTGATCTTAATCGCCTCTTCTCAAGAGAAAACAAATTCTCATAGCTGAGTTCCCCATACCTCTTAACAGTTTAGTTGCCCTTCCCTGCACAATCTCCAGTTCCATAATAACCTTTTTGTGAAGTAGTTCCCAAAACTGAACTGGATATTCCAGATGCGGTCTTACTAATGCTTTGTACAGGGGCAGGATGATGTCTCTCTCTGGATTCTATACCTTTTTTAATACAAGAAAGTATTTTGCTTTAGAAACTGCAGCTTGACATTGCATGCTATTATTCAGTCTATGATGTTCCAGAGCACCCAAATCTTTCTCCATCATTGATACCCCCAAACATACTCCCCCTAGAGTGTATGACGCATGCATGTTTTTAGTCCCCAATGTCATAACTTTACATTTATCAACATTAAACCTCATTTGCCAAATAGATGCCCAATCACACAGTGCATTCAGATCTGCTTGTAAGATGGAGACATCCTGTAAGGACTGTATTCCACTACATTACTTGGTGTCATCTGCAAACCCAGAAATAGTACTTTTAATCCCCAACTCTGTCATTTATAAATAGGTTAAACAGTAAGGGCACAACACTGAACCTTGGGGATTCCACTAACAACCTCAGACCATTCAGAGTATGAATCATTAATCACTAATGATTCAATTACATCCAATTACAGAGAGAATGCTCTTTACCCACAGACTAGAGATGCACCGATACTGGTTTTTCGGAATTGAGTACGAGTACAGATAATTTTTTATTTTTTTTTGTTCTCGCCGATACCAAATGCTGATACCGGAAGTCCCATTAAGGAAGCCGGGTGGCGTGTAATGACTTGCCGTCCAGCTTCTTGATTAGCTGGGAAGCTGTCTCCATACTCCCTCGTCACCAGGTGACCAGCTTCCCGACCAATAGGGAAGCCGGACGGTGAGTCATTACATGCCGTCCGGCTTCCTGATTGGCCAGGAAGCCAGTTGCATGCTCCTGGTGACGAGGAAGCATGGAGCCGGCTTTCTGGCCAATCAGGAAGCCGGGGGATGGGTAATGACTCGCCGCATGGCTTCCTGATTGGCCAGCTTCCCGACCAATCAGGAAGCTGGCGAACTGTGTCAAACGCTTTTGCAAAGTCCAAGTATACTGTAGCCACAGCCATTCGTTTATCTAATGTATTGCTTACTTCCTCCTAAAAAGAAAGTAGATTTGTTTGACAACTTCTTCTGTCTTTTGTGAATCCATGCTGACTATCGCTTATAATTTTCAAGCAAAAACATGTGCATGTTATTCTTTATCAAACTTTCAAGTATCTTCCCAACTATTGAAGTTAAACTTGCAGGTCTGTAATTACTTGGTAAAGACTTTGATCCCTTTTTAAATATAGGCACCACATTGGCCTTGCACCAATCCATTGGTACCATGCCAGTCATTAGAGACTGGAAGTCTACTCTTAAGAGTAACTCCTGTTATATCCCTTATTTTATATATTCTTTACATTCTTTATTTTATTTTGTACAACTTTGAAATAGCTTTGCTCAAGCCTTTAACTAAAACTTTAGTTCCATTATGAGGAATTTTAAACAGATCTAAATAGGAGTGCAGATTGTAAATTGAAACAAGCAGCTAGCAGGCTTTTAACAAGCTTCAAGTAATGTTAAAGCCTGCTAAACCCAGCTGGAAGCATGATAATCTGTGGTTAAAGTGTATGTCGGGACATCTTTAAAGATTCTGCAAGTACAGAAAAATATATTTTGCAAAAAATACACTTGTAACAAATTGCAAGAAATGCCCAGTTGTCTTCTAAGCCAAAGAATCCCTCCCCTCTTCCCATCTCTATAATATAGGAGGAATTGTTTTGTAGTCGCAAAGATAACACAGACAAAGTTAACACAGCAGGACAGCTCTGAATTTCTGACACGATCAGTGGGTATTTATTTTTGCAGACAAATATAATAAAATCTTTTCAGTGGTGTAGTAGACCATTAAAAAAGACTAAAATAGACCAAATAAAAGCAGTTCATTGTTTGCATTTGAATACGTTTTAAGCGCCCCAAACTGGAGCAGAATGGTACTTTAAAGTGATATTAAAGCCTAATTTTTTAAAAAAAATTCTCCTTTAAGAAAACCCTCTTTTGCTGGGGGCTGTTGCTTTTTTTTCTCTAAAAGTTTTTCATTCCTCGTTTTCTAGTGGGTCTCTGCAGCGCTCTTCCCCCCGCCCCCTGCACTGCATCTTTCTAATGGAGGCACCCATGCGCGCTCGTTTCCGCAGTGACTGTGTGCCACACGCCGTCCCTCTGTGATTGATGGCAGAAGGAGCCTATGGCTCCTCTGCTATCAGTATCCTCCACCCGGAAGTTCGGGGAACGGAGGATCGCTTCAGGACCGGCGGCGTGGACGAGCGGTAAGTGTGGGGGGGGGGACTGAGGTAGAAAAAAGGTGCTGGGCCATTTTTACCCTAATGCAGAGAATGCATTAAGGTAAAAAACGCCCAGACCTTAATCCTACTTTATAGGCTTCAGCAAGGTGCTCAAAACTTTGCAGCTGCTTTGCAGTGCTCCTGTAGAATCTAAAGCCAGTGTAAACAAGGAGTAACAACAGGAGTGAAGTCCCTGTTTTTTGTTGAATCAACAAGCTAATTTCTTAGCCATATCACTGTTGCCTTGAAGCAGTACAAGCTCTATTCTGTGAATATATGTATCAAGTTGTTTTTTATGATTCGCTTGTTTAATAGAATGAGTGTCATGTTTTATTAGTAATGTTTTGTATTCCAATTTCTTTTTTGTTCACAGAGCTGATGAGATTGAGATGATTATGACCGACCTTGAAAGAGCCAATCAGGTAACATTTGATATCCGTTTTATTAACAGGGTATAGTAGAGTATCAAACTGACATAAAAACACTATTTTAACTAAAACTGAGAGAAATATAGATGTACGGCTGCCAACTACAGTATGTATAGTTCAGGAATTCAGAACATGCATATCTATTGGTCACTGGTCTGTGGTAGAGTGCTCTACTCTGTAGGATGTGAATATGCTTAGGGGAAGGAATGCAGTCTGGTTTATAATAATGACATATTGAAATAAAATGGTATTGAAATGTCATTATGAAATGATCACAGTGTTAAATGCTCTCTAATACACACCATAATAACATGCTGAGAAATTGGTCCTGGAATGGATTCTAGACCGGAGTTATTTGCCTCTGCTTTGGCAAACACACTGTTGCGTTTATCCAAGAAGGATTTGTAGTTCTAACCAAGGTCTTTTGGCAGGCTAGCATTGTACATGACGTTTTGATTAAGCACATCTTTTGGGAGTGTATGATCTCGCTGAAAAGAGCTCGGATTTGGGCATTCCTTGAATGGATTTTTATGCTGTAGCATGTTGATGTAGACAATGAACATTAACTTTTTTTTGCGTAAGAGCTATTCTGCAGTGCTTGGTTTTTACTTTATTCAGGGGATCAACAAAACTTACTGGCGATGTCATACACAGGGGATACCATAAAGGGAGTGGTAGTCTGCCTCAAATGATGTGCAGTAAAATTACTAGCTTGAAAAAGGAACTTTGATTTGACCACATATAGGCAAAGACAGAGCACCTATGTATGTGAAGTTCACAGTCACGTGGGGCATTTTCATGCATCACGTTTTTCATAATATTCAAGTGCAATGTGCCCTTCCTCTAACTCTACTCCCTCTTCCGAACTAGGGAGATTTTCCCATTCCTTGTTGTTTTAAGATGATCATATAGGAAAAATCTCCCAATGGGGACACACTGGAACAATCCTTAGGTGTTGTAAAAAAAGACAACAAAAGTCATGACTCCGTGGTTTTCTAAAAAAAATGTATTTTAGTCCTGTCTGTGTCCTGACTCTCAATGAGCTAGAAAACGAAGGTCCATATCACACATGCATGCATACACACACACGCACACCAATTTAAACACGAACCAGGTACACTATAAAAATGTCTTTGAAAGTGTGGGAGGAAACCAGAGTACCCCAAGGAAACCCACACAACATGCAGTATCATTTAGATAGTGTCCTAGCTGGGATTTAAGGCAATGATCCCAGTGCTGCAAAGTAGAGGTGTAAACCACTGAGTCACTGACCCCCACTTCCTATGCCAACAACCACACAGTAGGTCAGAAGCATTCCCCTAACTGGAGTCCCAGAAAGCAATAAAAACATGACCAGAATTCTAAACTTGTGAACTTTGAGAACTCTACTCAAACATTTCCATTTAGTTTGACATAAAGACTGCTTGGGTGGTATAAGTGTGTTTACCTTTGTAGCAGCAATTGAAGTATGACATTACCCATTACAGATGTACTCATCTGAACCTCTGAGCCCACTGGCTGCTAGACCGGTCCCTGCAGACTCCAGCAATTAATTGTGCCTCGGCAGCCTCCCGTCAGTATCTTGTATTGGATGTGATGACTCACAGGACCTTAGACTCCTGGAGCAAAGGGGGAGCACAGCTGCAAGGGCCAGTTTAACAGCCAGCTCCAAGGTTCAGGTGAGTATCTTTGTTATTTTAATCCCTAGACAGAAACTCCTTTTTAACCCTTGCAGTGCAGGAGTAGCCCCACTACAAGGGTTAAGAATGTTTCTACCTGAAGTTCTTCTTTAACGACCTAAATAATAATATTGGCTGTACAGTTGTTCTAAAGTGCTTTTTGTAGATGGTGTCATCCTTAAGCTCCACCCAGCTATGAACTTCAGCAGTCCCTGGTTCACTGCAGTGTGTAAAGCGATAGAAAAATGAAGTGCAGCACCCCTAAATTCTAGACCACGGTTCTTCTCTAAAGAAAGTTCATGCTCTTTCTTGCTGCATGAGGAACAATGGCCTTCAGTGAGGGAGTTTAGGTGTCATGGGATCTTGTCCACTAATGGCAGTAGGTGGGATCATGAACAGCCTTGCAAATGCTGCACTACTAAACAATAGGCTTTGGATGTGGATTGCTGCTCATCAATCCATCTTTGTCAGGATCCAAACCCATGGTTATGAGCTGTGTGTAATGAATGACAGAAGAATGTCGTACAGGCTGCAGCAATGAGCTGTCTGCACATGACTGTTGGGCTTACACTCCATAGTAGACTAAGGATTGTGCCAGTGTGGCAGCCTTTCAGCTTGGCAGAACAAGAACATGATATTCCAGCCTAAGAACACTATGGGAGCTGACTAGAAATGCTGCAGTGCATGGGCAAAGGGACTGACCTGACAATAAAATGTGGGACCTGCAATTGCTAACATGTTTTCAAAAGTATAGGCTTTGGTTTCATCATCCTTATCCATCCTTAGGGCTTGTTCACACCAAATGCGGACCAGATCTGCATTAGTTTCTGCACATGCAGTGCAGTGTGTTTTGCCGCGTTTATGACGCATTCCGGGCTGTTGTTGTTTTTTTTTTATTCTAGGCTAAAATGGTCTTTCAGTGTGTTCCGGGGCGTTTGCATGCAGTTTTGGTGCGTTCCAGAGCAGAAAAAATAGGGCATGCTGCAGTTTTTCGACATGTTCTAGAACTGAACTCTGGTGTCAACTAGTGCCCAAAATACCATTGAAATACATTGGATGCATTTTTGATGCGTTCTGTAACTGCTCTGCATCTGCACCGCGCTTGGTGTGAACAAGCCCTGAAACAGTCAGTATACCCAAAACTGTTATCTCACTATTTTAGATCTCGGACAGTTAAACCATCTAAACGTTTCCTGTATGTTTCAGGAACTTGAATTCTCTGTTCTTGAATTTTTGGATTTGCACACCTGCTTTGGCCATTATGAGGGTCTACTACTTCACTTTCAGATTTTCGATGTAGTTAATATTATGGCAAACATAGTAACAAAGGGTAACAGGAGGTGTTAGAACAACAAAAGGTGGGGGAGAACAACCCAAATTTCCAGGTGGACAGAAACAGAGCTGGGGATTGTGGCAGAGGGGTTTCTCTGTTTGTGTATCCACGACATTCAAGATGTAAGGGCCTGACCTAACATACCATGGTTCACCAAATACTAAAATATCACTTTTGGGTAGACTAACACTTTAGTTGGTGAATTACTAACTTTGGTTAAGGATTTGCATATAAGGTATTGGGACGGCATATAAGGTATTGGGACGCCCAATACGCAAATTCTTGTTCTAGGCCAGTAACTCACTAAGTGGTAAAGCCAGGATCAGCAAGAAAAAAAAGTCGGGGAGTGTGCACCTTCAAGGGCAAGTTGGCAACAGCAAATCCAAATAATTGTAGCCTTAGAAATTCTTTTTTTAACCCCCTCACCACCACTGTCAGGATGTCCAAATCTGATACAGAAATTCCGTCCCTAGCAGATTAAAAGGTTCCTACCGTGTCTCCCCCTATGAGTCATTCCCACGAGTAATTCTAAAATGAAATCATTCTCTGCATGAGTATAGAAATAAATTGAATAAAAAAGATTCCATTTCTTCTCATATTTTTTCAGCCTGATAAATTCAGTGGGCTGCAGCATTAACAGCAGCAGGGGATTCCTTGCTTCTAGCGTTAAATTACTGTCATAATCGCTCAATTATTTCTTCCTTGTACTGTTTAAAATAAAAATCCATCACTTTCCATGATTTTTTTTCTTTCCCCCCCTCCTAACATTTATTAGGTTGAGTGTTTAGGAAAATCAATTATAGTCAGTCGGGCATGAATTGATGAATGTTCTGAGATTAATTGTCAGTTGTTAAAATGAATGTATTTCTCTCTTCACCTTTTTTTTTTTTTTTTCTCCCTTCAGAGAGCAGAGGTGGTGCAGAGAGAGGCAGAGGACTTAAAGGAACAGCTCTCATCATTCAACAAATCTCTACAGCATGCCCCACAGGCGCAGAAACCGCCTGATACTGTGAGCAACACAATTAATTATTCCGTTCACATGCTCTTAGTAGTATTAAACTCTCAAACGTTTTTCAATAATGAATCTGGATCAAACAAATATACATTATTTCTTTGTGCTGTATCTGTATGTTTGTGAAGACACACACAGTTTATTAGCACACACAATGTTGGCTCCATAGGACCCTGCAAGGCAGAGCAGCCACCCTAAAACAGGATATCAGGGCCAGTACCCAGAGGATTAGCTAATTCTGCAGGAAGCTACAACTTTTAAACATCAAGAAGCAGCATCATTGTAACTGAGTCAATCAGTATTTGGAATAGCTTAAAAACCTTTCGACGTTAAAATGTATTTCCACTTTTGCTTTTACATTTTAGAAATCCCCTCTATATATTCGTTATGTGTTCCTATTTATACAGCATATTGAAAAGTAACTTAAAAAATAAAGTCTTATCTTTTTCGATGTTTTGTTAAATCAGGCAAGACGGCTGATTCCAGGTTTTTCTCAGCACCTTCATAGTGGTCTGTCCTTATAGAAAGACTTAGGAGGGACATTTGAGGATTGTCTATCTGATAAGCTTCATTAACATACAATGGGCAAGCCACCTCTGAATGGACAAGACCCCTCACCTATCACAGCCCCTCCTAAGATTTCAAAGAAATAGAAGAAATTTTAACCCTTAAAACCCTAACCCATGTAAAAACAATTTAAACTCCAAGGAGCATTTTTTATGGCTTTTTTGAATAGCTTATGCTATATGAATGGGAGCATGTAACAAATATAAAATAGGTGTTATCCCAATTTGGCTGCGTAAGTGGAAAAATACTATTTTGTCTTCTCAAGGTCAACATTTTTTTTTGTAATTATGCACAAAGGGGAGAAGAGCAAGAACCCCTGTCAGTTTTTTATTGGGATCGGTGTCACTGTTGGGGAGATTTGCCCTCACGTCCTGTCCCCATGACAGGGTGTCACAAGGACAGAACTGATGTAATATGTCTGTGATGGTGACAGAGACCACAATTAAAGTACATTTATGTAGTCGATTGGGTAGGGGCTTTGACATCTCTTATGTTTTTATAGCACTTTACCTCGCTGACATTTGCACCCTCTCATTCAGGAGAGGAAATGAGGGCACAGACAGAGGTGAAATCTTGACAGAGGTTCTGACTCTTACCCATAAAGTTTTGGTTGGAGTTTGGCTTTAATACACAAGACAAAAGAGCTTTAACGTGACCATTTCACCACAGGGTCGCTGTTTACAATATAGGTCACCTGCAACATAAGCATGAATATACTTGCAATTCTGGCTGCCTGTGTTTTGAAAACCCACTGCTTCTCCTCTCCCCAGCCACTGCATGTATTTTGTACATTTCCAGGTGTGTAGAATACTTGCTCCTTCAACAGCTGCTGTAGTTCCTCCCACTGGCTCACACATCACCAGAGCGGTCAGGGAGCAAGCATTCAACTCATCTGGCATTCAAATAACGGCAGTGGCTGGGGAGCAGAGATGCCAGAGAGGTGAGTATATTCATGGTTCTTTTACACGTGACCTGTTGGTGACAGGGTCACTTCAAAGGTTTTACCCGAAAGGTGTTAAGAAAGAACTCTGCATATGAACTAGCTATATAATGTTGGGACTTTCAAAGAGAAAAACCTTTTCCTCAAAAAAAGAAAATGCTGATTATGGAGATGATATGGCTGCAACAGTCAGAGGTGGAAGGATTTTCCAAAATAAGGTTGTGTTTTAGGTAAACAAGGGCAAAAAAAAAATTGCTTGGGTCCCTTTAACTTGTGGCAGCTTTCCTTTCTGTCATGTTCAACAGCTTCCTATTTTAAAACAGTGCCCAGATTTTTTTTTAATGTGACTAGATCTCTAGCGGTACATTTAGAGTTAATACAGCATTTTTGCAGTGAAGAGTATGTCTCTGTTTTGCACATCGTTATATTACACCTAAATTATGTATGCAGTCAGTGAATATACAATAACATCCCTGAGATAACCTAACATTCCACATGAAAGCCTATCAGGTAATTGAACAGCATTATTAACACTTCCATCTTATTAGCAGGATGCTGCTGTGAGCAGTCTTTAGCCGACTGTCCGTATTGGCCACCTTCTGTTTTCTTGCTTTCAACTGTATTTTTGAATATTAGGCTTTCCCCTTCTACTTTGAGAAATATTGTTGAAAAACCTTCTAGAAGTGCATTTTCCTGTTTTTATAAGAAATTATTACATTAAATATTGAGTTCAAATTTTATTTCTATTCAAGGACCCGCAAAAATATTTAACAGTTTGCAGAGTTGTGATACATAAATAGATACAAACTCATTCATATTTGTGAGTGCATGCTGCATGTCTGGTATAGTTTGTTGGTGTTTACTGTATTTTGTGACTACCCTGAACACACATTTTCTCTTACACAGGAGCAGACGCTGGAGGGGGCAGCATGCTCCAGTATGGAGGTTGAACTTACTGCAAAGGAGAGGGAAATTGCCCAACTTGTAGAAGATGTACAGAGGTTACAGGCCAGTCTTACTAAACTCCGAGAAAACTCTGCCACTCAAATAACGCAGCTTGAGCAGCAGCTAAACACCAAGAACAACACTCTTAAGGTGTGCAGTTATATAATAATGATGTAATATAATATAAAGTTATGGGGAAATCACAGGTACACGTGTTTTTATTTCCATCTACTGCAAACATCTGAAATCTATTGCCCAGAAAATTTAAAGTTTGCAGTATGTAGACTAGCATGTTGAAGATATACGCTACAATGCAAGAACCCCTTATTAAATCAGGCCCTCTACCCCATGTCCAAACACTGCACTATACCAGTAAAAAATATACTTTCCTTACACCTAGCTTCCGCAGTGGAGAGCGTAATGTTGCAGTTCTTCCAAGGAGATGCTGAATATCTCAAATCTCACTAGAAGACATTCCTGCACTGTGCAGGATCTCACCGGAAGGATTGGGACATCACCTTCATGCTGTGGTAGAAAGCTGGGTGGAAAGTACTGTATATGTTTCCATGTCTATATGTTTAAAGAGACCTTGTCACCAGCCTAAAGATTGCAGGTAAAAGCACACAAAAAAAAAAGTATTTAAAATATTTACTCATGGCCTTTTTCCTTTGCGAAAATTACTTTTTATTCTCTTGCTATGTGCCTCTGAACTTGGTAGCAAATATTACTAGTCAATTCCCCAAAACAACTCCTTCCATCCTTGCATGTCATAGCCCTCTACCCTTCTGGGAGTGTCTAATTACTCTCTGTTCTGGCAAAGGGGGGATAATATAGATTTTCACTTGACTGACAGCTGTGAATTTGCTAGAGCTGCTGACATCACATTCATGATGGCTGCACCAAGAAGCAGTCTTTGAACTTTTGGATATCTACACAAGGGAGTCTTTTACAGGTAAATAAAATGCAGATGGGAAGATTGTTGTTGAAATGGATGGTCTAGCAACAGGGTCTCTTTATTTATATGTTCACTTTTGTTTTTACCATGTTGTAGTGTTTTGGCATTGTAATAACTGTACTTTGCATTTTAGTTCAAGGTCTTCTTCAAGGAGACTCTGCTACTTCACCCTGAATTTTGGGCATATATTTTGAAAAACATCAGTTAAAGTGTATGTCTAGGCAAAAAATTTTTGTTTGAGTTTTGAATAGACTAGGCAAGCGTTGCATCTCCTGACATGTTTTTGTTTTTTGCTGTCTGTTTACTTTCCCTTCACTTCCTGTCGACAGAGAGAGAGAGGCACAACAGGAAGTTAGTGGAGGTCTCCCACAATTAATGGATTCTCCTCTTAGACAGCTGTCCTGGAATTAATTTCTTAATTGGAAGAATTCCCCTCACCTCTTGTTTTTGGACAAATTTGGGTTTCCCCTAACCTTGTTCCTCGGTGACAATGGTCATCAGTAAATAAAATAGAGGGGTAAACCAGAACTTTTTCTTTAAAAAAATAAAAAAAATAAAAAGGGGGTGGGGAGAAGGTTGCCTGGAAATGCACTTTAATCCAGTTATGCATTCTTTACAAAAAAAAATATATTTTTTTTTTTAAATTGGACTAACATAAGTTAGTCTGCTGCAATGACCTACACAGTTGCACTGGGAGAAGAAGGGCCAGCACCCGGAGCCAGTCAGGGCTGTTTTGCTTACTGCGGTGATGAGTCGAACACTGAACAGGTTTAGAAGAAGGAGAATAGGAATGACTTAATCAGTGTACTGCTGCTTGTTCATTGCCCAGTTATGGGTGCAGATCTTGGACTATTCTGTGTTGCATTACTGCAGTGAAGTGTGCAGGGAGGTCCAGGACCAGACAGGCAGGGGTCTGGTCCACAAGACAGCTAAACAGGATAACCAATCCTTTTGACAGTTAAAACTTCAAAAGAAGATACTTCAAGGGCACTCACAGCATACAACTCTATTATATTTCAAAAGAGGCAGGCCGAACAAAGAAAGGCCGCACAGCTTTTGAATATTTTTTAACCTTTGCTGCTTTTGGAATATAATAAAGAGAGTTTTATGCTGTGAGCGCCCTTGAAGTATCTGCTTTTGCAGTACATTGAAGACAAGGATTAGAACAAATAAGCACCGAGACCCACGCTGCATTCTAAACAGTGAAAATACAGTGGAATCTCCTGGGGCAACCTCTCGTAGCACTAGTCTGTCTCTCCCTTCCCTGTGAGTGCTGCATTTCTTTTGTGTTTCACTTTTTAAAGGTAAAACAGGTTACCTATTTGCATGTTTACTGTGTATTTAACTGCAGAAGTTAATAGCATTTTTTACACATATCTCACATTACCTTCTTTTCAAATTCCCTTACATTTTTGACTTCAGCAGTTCACCATTTTGAGATATTTTGGATTAAAATTAGTAGTGAGTGTACAGCTTGTATATCAGTGTACATTTGCTGTCCCCCTCAAAATAACTTAACACACAGCCATTAATGTCTAAACCGCTGGCAACAAAAGTGAGTACACCCCTAAGTGAAAATGTCCAAATTGGGCCCAATTAGCTATTTTCCCTCCCCGGTGTCATGTGACTCGTTAGTGTTAGTGACGAGGGAGCATGAAGCCAGCTTCCCGGCCAGTCAGAGAGCCGGGCGCCACATCATTACACAGTGCCCGGCTTTCTGATTGGCCAGCTTCCCGACCAATCAAGAAACTCGCCCAAATACTCGGCACAGCTACTAGTATCGGTATTGATGCATCCCATATATATATATGATAAAATATGACCAATTCCTTCATCCACGCTAAACAGCATAAATGTATGAATTTCCCAGTGTGTACATGGTATTCTGGCAGCAGCGCCGGCCGATGTGGGAATACTCGAACAGTGCTTGCAGCTGATTGGCTACAAGCACCATTGGTCTGACAACTGTCCAACATGTTCCTCTGGCAAACGTCAATTTAATGATTCACTTCTGTCGAGGGTTAGGGTCACAAATGGATCAAATTTTGGTTGATTTCTGCCGAATCAGTTGACTCTCGCGCAGTGATTTCCCAGCTTTAGTTAAAAGTTAGTGCACTGTATTAAAAAAATGTGAATTCAGTGTGGCAGGATCACTAATATAACTAAACATCAGACAGTCATTAAACATGGTAGTTCCTGAAGAAAACACTTAGGTGAATTAGTTCATATTTACCAAGGTTTCCTCTTGTGCAGATGATTATAGTGATTTTGTATTAATACCTGGTAGGATGAACTGTCCCGCAATCCATAACCTGTAAGAAAAAAATAAATCTATATGATAATTTCTTCCCCTGATAATATGAGCAGCTCCGTATGGAATCTTACAGGCACAGGATATGTCTGTCCTGCTGAGCTTTTTAATTCTGATCCATGAATAGCATATAGATAGTAATTTGCCTAAGGTCCAGAAAACAACAGATACCAGAAACAGGAAGATCAATTGTTTTTGATGCTTCTGGGGTCTGGCATACACTAAATCACTGATATTAATCACTGTAGGAAAAGCTCAGTGCTTATGCTAGAGCTGTTATCAGCCTGTTCCCTGCTAGTGAGATACGTTGTGTGTTGGAGAAACACCATTAACCTTGTGTGCCCCACAAACTACATCGCTGCAGTATAATGTGCATTTATTTACATGCATCTCAGATAATTCGGGACATCATGAAATTGTGCTCAGTGAGACGTCGCTAATAGACTGTGGTTTTTGGATGTGCACACTAAAGCAAAACCTCTTGATTTGTATATGAGTCATTTATTCTCACCGACGAACATGGCTGGCCCACGCTTTGCATACGTCTACATCCTTTGATGGATGATGTCACCACAAATTTGTCTCGTGTTCCGGACATAAAATAAATTGCTGCCCTGACACTGTTACATGACTGTGGGAATGCAAATGCCAGGACAGCATTATATCAGTATAACAAGGATGATTTCTCGAACACAATGGAGGCATGTTCCTTCCTTGTATGCTTATTCATTAAGGCAAAGTCCAGTAACCCACAAGCACCTATCCGAATGCATCTTTCACTGATCTGACATTGCTAGACACAGATCTGATTGGCTTTGATGAATTATTGCACATCTTCATTGCTTTTGGCACTGCAGTATTGTCTAAACCCAAATGTATAATATGTACTGTACATAGACAGGGAAAACCAGGCTTATGTTGAAATAACAGACACAATGTCAATGTTCCAAGAGCCCAAAGGGGTATATGTGTCTAAGGTATGTGTGCTATCCATAGCAAAGATTCTTTCTGGACTAGAAATCAAATTAAATGCAGAATCTGTCGGTTTGCATTGGGAACCCTGTTAATTCCATCAGATGTTTCAGTTAAGGAAACTGCTGGATTCACTGGATTGCTGCTTAGCCTTAGTTAAGTCTGGGAACAACATTAAAGCTGAACTCCAGGCAAATATGAAAGACCCAAATTAATGCAGCTCTGTCAATACATCCGTATAGGTAGTTTTTAAATGCATGCACTGTAAGTACCTGAATTAGACTTGGTATCAGCCTTCTGCAGTCTGCCTTACAGCAGAGTTCAGACAAGGAGAAGCAAGCTGGCCACGTCCTCTTCATCACTTCCTCTTTAAATCGTTTAATTAAAAAAAAATTAAAGAGGGTGTATGGAGAGGTTTTTGGGTGTTTTTGACACAACTTGAATGTGTCTGATATGTGTCCGAAATGCATGTTAAAGCTGTATGCACATTATTACACGTTCATAATGTTCGCATAAGTGAGGGAGCCTTTCTCTACGAAGCCCTGTATGGCAGTAAAGATTGAACAAGGGTTCTAAGGCTTCCCCTCCTCTATCTAAAACTAGAAAAAAGTTGTGGCTGGACACCAAGTATATGTAGAAGACACACACCGCTTGCACAGTGCTTCTGGATGGTGTCTGCTGTTGTGATCTCTAAAAGTACCCGTATCTGTGTATATATTAATTTATAAAGGATCATGTACTGAAATGATTTATATGATACCAATAACTTTCACATGTACTGTAGATCTATGAGCAACATTAAAATAATCTAGTTCCCTTTTGAGTGCGTTTGTACCAGGCTACCGTTTTTGTTTTTACATCCATTGCATCAAAATAGTTTTGTTCAATCTGGAAATACTTGCCAGTAACAATCTTACACATGTGCTCCTGAGTGAAACCTTTTAATATGCTGCATATTATTTGTAACAACTGCTCTTTGGCCACTGATGTCATTCTGTTTGTATATTAGGCATTTGTCCAGCCCTGTACATTTTGGCACGTCAAGGGATTCCAGCTGAATGGCTTCACTTGCACCATTAAAATCACATTAACAATTTCTACATGAAAGTCACAGTGACAGTTGTTTGTTATTCTGTGTATTGTATCTTGTGGAAACACTGTATAATATGATGATCAATTTCCCATACAGTTAGGACAAGGACTTGCAGGTTTAGTGAAAATATACTTCTCCGCTGATACCAATTAATGTAATTGTGTGTTCTGTTAAAGCTGAACTCCAGGCAAACAACTAAAAACACAGGTGAAATACATGTATGGGAGCTGTTTTATCTAAAAGGAGAAGGGGTCACTGGCACTCCAGTATGCTGATCAATACGACTTTATTGATGCATGTTCAGTATCACATAAGATGACGTTTCGGGGCCACGCAGGGTCCCTTACATCAGGCAAAACAGTGATGACTGTTCATCATAGTGTTCATCGCTGTTTTGCCTGATCGAGGGGACCCTGCATGGCCCTGAAATGTCATGTTATGTGATACTGAGCATGCGTCAATAAAGGCGTATTGATCAGCATACTGGAGTGCCAGTGACCCCTTCCTTTCTGATATTGAGCGGCGCATCTGTTTGCCACTGTGGCACCCACCTATTCCTAAATTACTGGTCAGGAGCGCGATGGGACTTGGACATTAATCTGTTTCATCTAAACACACTTAGGCTATAAGTGGATGTGTAACATCTCATCAAAGGCAAAAGGAGTGTAGCAGCAGATCAAGCCCAGCAGTCCATGGTCCGTGTGTAGTGATAGAAGTGTAGGCTGTCATTAGTTCCCCCAGTGAGAGACACTCGTCAGAGATGGTTAAGTGTACAGCGTCCTCAGTTGCAACCATTTTCCCCCGTCTTCTTATTGGTTGGAAAGGCCACACATTATATTATATTGGTGGACTAACAGCTAGGAGGCAAGGGCAGGTAAGAGCCAAGGACCTTGAGAGCCCCACTTTTATGGGATCGGGGTGCTCTGCAAAGTATTGAAGGCTGCTTGTTATTTTTATTAAATGACCAATCTACTTTTGCATTTGGGATTGCACTTCAATTATGGCTCAAGCCTTATTTCAAATCAGTTTGGCTGTATTTTGGCAGATACATTAACTGGTTTTCTGAAACTGTTTACAGCAACTTGAAGAAAAACTGAAAGGGCAGGCTGACTATGAAGAAATAAAGAAGGAGCTCAAGTAAGTTAATAGGATTGTGCCTCTTTCTTTTACCCTTTTCATTGTCATTCCTTTGTATTCTGTGGTGTCTGTATCTTTAAAATGCTAAATCAAAGGTAAGGAAACCTGTAGTGAAAGGAATATGGAGCCATTGCTGACAGCTTTCTGAAAATACTAGTGTTATGGCTGTCTCTGTTTCATGGCTGGCACAGAATGTTAGAACTGAATCCAAACATATAGCAAGTGAAAACGGAATGTTTGATCTGCATACATTATTATTATTATACAGGATTTATATGGCGCCAACAGTTTGCACAGCGCTTTACAATATAGGAAAGACATTACAAACAATACAAATCAAGACAAGATGGTAGGGAGGGCATGTTCCAGATCAGACCTAGAAAGCACTGAAGCAAGAGAGTCATCATAATAGCCAGGCATCTTACATTTCCAGGGCGTGTTCATCAATGGCAGTTCCTGTATTTTCTTTGAGAAGTAAGGAATAAATCCAAGTGCCCACATTCTTCACTTTTTGTCTTTGTATTCCTCTGTGTAACTCTCCCAAAATAGATTTTCTGCAAGCCTTAAACAGTAGAAAGTTCACTTAAAATGAATAATATTTGCTACGGTAAAAACAAATCTTCAAAACACACCTTTCTCTTTTCTCCGTTCCTTTCTTATTCTGAAATTATTTTGTTCCATCAGTTTTTTTTTTGTTTTTTTTTATGACTGACATACACTTTTCTACTACAACAATGTTTATTGCGGATGAAGCTTTTGTTGCAATGTAGCAATCATTAAAGATGCTATTGTTTCTTATTGGATGATTGTCATGCATTCCTCCCAGGTTGAGCTGATAGGTGGGTTTTACACACAGACTATAAAATTGTTATGATAGTGCAGCCTTGCCTCTGCTGTTACTCGCATTTTTCCACCATTAAAGCACATATGTCAGCTCACTGTAAAGCTGGCCATAATCCTATAGATTATCTGCAGATTTTCTATGGTCACATGGAAAAAGTGCAACAGATTCCTCCATCTAAGCTAAACCTTGTGGATGGAGGAAACTCCCACTGGGCCAAGCTTCAGTATCTTGCTAGTCTGCCCTGCTGGCTGTCAAAATAACTGAACAATCTGATTGGATGCAGGCATTGTTCAGGTATTTTGAGAACCAGCGGGGCCGACTATAAAGATACTGAAGCTTGGCCCAGTGGGAGTTTCCTCCATCCACAAGGTTTAGCTTAGATGGAGGAATCTGTTGCACTTTTTCCATCTGATCTATAGAAAATCTGCAGATCATCTATAGGTGTATGGCCAGCTTAAGACTACCATGGAGGTTGACCTCTTTCCGCTTGAGTTTATGGTGGATAACTGACACTCTGCCAGGGCTGCTGAACAAAGATACAACTGTCAATCATTTTAGTTTTTCTTTGATGGTTTTTTTTTGAGGTAAGGCTACACTATTATAAGATCTAAATAGTGGTGATTAGGATCATCACAGATATCCATTAGTAACTGGTTCCCTTTAAACAGCAGGTTGTTTAGAGGCCACAGACAGGGGAGAGCCGGCGGCTGCTGTCAGAATACAATGAAGACAGCGGGAGATTCCCCAATCAACACTCGTAAGCGTTGCTGGAGGAATCTGTTCTATTTTTGTCGTTCAGTTCACAGGTTGAGCGGAAAAAAAATAATAGAACAGTGTATGTCCAGCTTTAGTTAGGCCAAGCATTCCTATTTATGTCTATAAAGTGAGAAGGAGAGAGGTGCCTGTAGATAGCTGCCACATCACCTTATCTCAGGAAGCACAGCTGCAATCAGACAAGGTTTTCATCATATATTTAGATCAATAGGATGGATATACTTGGAAGTACAGATTTGTATGAAATCATTTCAGTTCATATGGTAACATCACTTCACACAACTGGTAGCATGTAGACTGAAAATGTAATTTTCAGATTTTCTTACTAGTGTCCCTTTAAAAAAGTAAGAGATTTTCTCCAGCTTTTGGCCCACTTGAATATCATTGGCTTCAAGTGTTTCATATGCTGTCCCAAAATGTAATATTACTGTCTGCATCTATTTTTGCTTGCGTTCTCCCGGTGTTCTGCCTTCTTTACCAATCATTCTTCTTTTTATTTGACAAGTGCTTCCTGCAGCCATAAATCATTTTGTCCAAATTACATTTTGATTGTTGAGAAAACAGTTTCTTTGCTCATAATGCACAATCACAAAAGTTATGTTGAAAATGTGTCTGTCTCTGGCACACCAGGCTTGAGAATATGCTGCATAGCCTTTAGCAGTACTGCTTAAAAGAAATTGTACAATTGTCTGTTCTCTTTATGTGCCATATATGCAGTTTGATAAAAGGAGAATATGGCATGTTGTCTGTGAGTGCACATACTGAGTTATTATTGTAAGGTTTGTCCTGAACTAATCCGGCGTGGCTTTGACATATGTACTTGCTGCTTCTCCTGTCTTTTTCATTTATTGCATTTTATGTATGGATTTATAGATTATCCCTCTGTTGGCTGTCTGCATGTTACTCAGGGTAATTGTTATCTCTGTAGATGAACTTCTAAGATGAAGTAAGCAATGCTTATGACCTTATCCAGTGGCTGTTTTCTGAAAGTGCCTAATTAAAAAAAATTAATAAACTAATTACATACGAATAGCATTCATAAATATATCTCTTAAAAAGCTTTCGTGTAATCTCATGTGATCTGCCTGGCAGGCTGTGAAATGTAAAAAGTACTTTGCATGGAAATGATGATTTGTTCTGGCTTTGGGTTTACTTACCACAGTGTCCCAGCCTATAGGTACACTCCCAAGGGTTGCAGGGAGATCACATGACCTTAGCAGGGAGAGAGGCAGAGTAAAAGCATAAGAACCAGGGATGAGTGGGCAGTAATTGATATGTCGCCCTCCCTGGCTATCCCGGATGAACTCAAGATGACGATGCCCAAAGCACTGTAACAGCCAGTGCATAGTCTCATTTTGAGCTGTACAATACTATATTCTAGGTACTTCTATCCTATCATTACCATTAGGGCAGCAATTGGTGTCGCAACCCATAATTATACTCTGCTGAAGGCAAATGAGTACCGATCAGTTGCTCTGAATTGCTGCACATAAGAATCAGAATTCTTTATTGAATAAGCTCAATAAATGTGTTTGTTTTTAATCTGGATAACTTATAGATGTGCATTGAAAAGCAAGTAAATCGCTATCGCTATGCTACATAACGAAGCAGAACACACAGTGTGTACTGTTTATTTCATGACCTGCCTCCCGGCTTCCTGATTGGTCAGGAAGCCAGGCTGCCTCGTTGCGTCACAAGGGAAGTGAAGCCAGTGTTCTTTCGATAGAACAACGGCTTCCCAGGCAATCAGGATGACCTGCTGCCCGGCTTCCTGATAATCCGGGCTCACAGGTGCCGGTATCAAAACTTGATATTGGCGAGTACCGAAAAAAAATATCAGTACTCGTACTCAACACCAAAAAAACGGTACCGGCGCATCCCTTGTCACTAAAGTGTTGCCAGCAGACAAAATCTGGTATTGCAGCTTGGCCAGTCAGCTCTAACGATGTCCTAACATGCTGTTCTTTCTAAATGGTCATGTTTTACTGCAAAAGAAAACCATAAAAACATCAGGACAAGGGTCACACTGTTTCCTAAAAAGGGTCTCCTTGTTTCTACATGAAGGTGTCAGAGGAAGCTGCAAATGTAATTTAGCTGGAAAGCCTTTACATTCTACTACATACAGACTAATTCATATAAGAGTTTTACTACATGTTACGCTGAGGAATTCTTAAAATCTGCAAACAGACGCATGTATTCCCACATAAACTGGTTCTTTCATAGAGTCCTTAAGAGGAGAATCGTTGAAAAATAATGGTATTATTTAGCTATGACTGTTATGCAAATCTAACTCCCTTGCAGCTACACTAACAAATATATACACTTTCTGACAGCTTTAAATGTTATTTTCTTATTAACATTTAATTTTATGCCACAATGTGGCCTGCTGGGAATGAGATATGCATTATTTAAATGACCCATAAGAAAGATGTATTTTATCTGGGGACAGACGAGTGTTGTGATTCATTATCTGATTATTGTGATGCAGAGGCAGTTGAGAAAGTTACCAAGAGTTGTCCTTTCAGCAGTGTTGGGAGCCGGGAGGGCGATACTCTGGATGTTTATTGGAAATGGGGTCTTAAATATTAAATTCTTTTTGGTGCTTTTTCCAGCATTCTGAAGTCCATGGAGTTTTCCCAGTCTGAAGGATCAGGGGGTCAGGTAATAAACATCACGTTCTTCATAAATGTTCACATTTTAGCCTGCATTTTTTTGCATCTGAAATACAAACTATCTGTACTGCCTCACATCAGCCAATAATGTATGGATTTATTTAATTTTATTTTTTTGCATATTCCACTTGTCATTCCAGTGCTGGTTTGAATCTGACTGCTTGCTACTGTCTGATCAGTTCTTTTTAGCATCAGTGTACAGGGGTGATTCTGGGTTTTTTCTGATTATGTTTTTGTGAAGCCTTTTTTTCGAACTGGAATGCCATTTGTGAATATAGCATTGGATCATAAAGGGCGATACTCACTTAGAAACAAGACACTTTATTGGTTACAATGAGCATTACATACATTTTTACTGCTGTCCAGCCCCAGCTCCCATGTTAATATGACATTTCACAATTATTTATATGAATTTTGTGGCATGTGTGTAATTAAATCACAAAATAGATTGGTTATATTTTTGACAAAATGACAGCTGAGTTCTGATTGGCTTCTGTGAGCAGCATAAAGGATCTTCTTATCGACCGTAGTTTTTTTTTCTTGCAAATATGTTTATATTGCTGGAACTTTGTGACTTTTTTTGTGAGATATTCATAAGATTAATGAGATGATTTTGTCGTTTTTTGCACACAAAAAAAAGTAAAAACACTGGGGGACATTTTGAAAGCAGGACCAGCTGGTAACTAATAGTTTCTGCCCTTTTAGAAGAACATGACATTTTTTGACAATACTTAAATTCACAGAACAGTATATTTGCTCTTGTGAATAACACATACTTCAGAAAAATACAAATGCTTTGGAAAAAATACATACTGGGTGGGGATTCATAAAAACTGGAGCAGGTAGAATCTGGAGCAGTTGCCCGTAGCAACCAATCTGCTTCCCTTTTCAGTTTGTTCAGCTTTGAAAATGAAAGAGGAACGCAGATTGGTTGCCATGCTCCAGATTCTGTATGCTCCGGTTTTAATGAGCTTCCCCCACTGTGTGCTATCATCCAGTTTTAAATTTGCTTTTGTGTTTTTACTGTGCCTTGATTCTTTTAATTGCATTGTGGTTGTTGATCAGTTCATTTCCATTGGCTGTATTGTTTAGGATGCATCGAAACCATTGGAGGTTTTGTTGCTGGAGAAGAACCGCTCCATGCAGTCAGAGAATGCCACGCTGCGTATTGGCAACAGCGACCTGAGCGGTAAGTTTGTTTTGCTGACTTGAGTAAGTGACAAAAATGAATGTGCTGTGCAAAGCGGTGTTAGAGACACCTGACAGCAAGATTAATGAACAGCACAATCCGCAAGTATTGTTTGACTTGTAAGAGCTGTAAGCGGGAGAAGAGAACACGTTTTAGAGACCTTGTTGGCATTGCTTAAATAATAAGACTAATTGCCTTTAGAAAATGGCAGCTTTGTAAGGTGTCATGATAAAACATTACAGGCTTGTTTCCCACTATGCTTTATGGGGAAGATGTGTATACATTTCAATAGCTTTTTATCTAATTAAAGAGAGATTTCAACTGAAAAAGCAGACCTCCGCTTCTGACATCCCAGTGCATTAACTTTGTGGGGTTCCTGTGTTTCAGTCTCAGCCAGTACCAGTGATTTTGTCATTGTTTACCATGTCTGGGCAGAATTATTGCTATTCTTAGCTTAAAAATGCTGGTCTGAGGTGATTCCGGATTGGAAAAGATTTAAGAAATGTTCAGAAAGTGTTGAGCAGTTTTTTAAAAGCCCTTTATGCACCCTTTTGGCTCCAGTCTGGGAGTCATTCTAATTGGCGCACTTACTCTAGCTTTAGCAAACTGCGGCCAGCTTTAAGCAAGTACTCAAATACGACTGGACAAATCCTTGTTAAATGCTTATGCTTAGTAAATGCCTGCTGAAAATGATGTTGTTTTTTCAAGCAAAGATGATGCGATGCCCATGTGTACTTGGCTTAAAAGTGTCAGATTTATCACTGAGGATGAAGGGGGATAGGTTCTGTTTATTTTTACTTAAATGCAGAGCTCCAGAACCAGCTCCTGTTTTCTCCCATGCTTGACACATGGTGAATGGTTTGTTTTCCTTTTTACTGTAGAAAACAGTCATCTTCTCACACAGAGGTTTTGCAGCGTGTGGGAAAATGGTCTGCATGCCTTAGCAAGTGCTTATGATGCTCAGACTCTCTTTTCTTTCTGTTACTCCCTTCCGGAATACTGCTAGGGTTGTATTAATCTGTTTTCATTTTTTTGTATATGGCCACCCTAATATTTATTGTATATTGCCACCCCAATATTGACTGTCCTCATAGTAGTGCCTTGATGTTCTATGAGGATTAGTTTCAGCTCAGGTAGTTGTAGTGAAGTCCAAGACAAAATTGACATTTAAGTAGAATGGGGGTAAAAATCAATTGACACCTTTATGTTATTAGCTAAATGAAACTGAAGCATTGGCCTAGGTCTATTTTCTAATGAAAGGAAAACACCTTGAGAAGCTGTAAGTAAAGGAGTTGTATTTTTTCATTATCTGCCATTGACTGGGTCCCATACAGTAAGATAGGCAATTACTGTGAAGAGTCATTTACTTTATCTTACCTGATTTTTTTACCATCTTTTGTGTTGTACAGTTTGTTAATATTTAACCTGTAAGTGAAAAAGTCTATCATAGCTATTATCTTCTTGTATGAGTATTCCACTGATTTTGGAATCGTGGTATGGTTTATGACCATTATTTTGGCAATTGACAATAAGCTATTGGTTTCCTATAGAATACATGACTAGGCTGCTTTCAAGTGTAAATGTTTGCTGTGGGCCATTCAATCGATTTATGTATGCAAATAAGCTCATGTCATTGTGGAGAACTGTATTGTTTGTATGGCACAGTGATCTGTACTGAAGAGGTGAAGTGCAATGATTTGTCTTAGGAATTCTCCAGGCTGCAACAAACTGTACAAGAAAGGTACAAACATGAAATGCATGTTGTTTGTTTTGGGGGCCTTGTTCGGCTTACTGCAAATTCAATTTAAAAACCTAATTGGCCCTCTTTTTTTTTTTTTTAAATGCACTTTTTCACTGTGGGGCAAACATTGCGTTTTTATCTTGGTTTTTCCCTTTTTAATCCCCCATAATGCATTATGTTTGACCTTTCTTGTAGGGTCAGCCAGGAGAAAAGGGAAAGACAAGCATGAAACTCAGCGCCCTGCAACCTTGCCGGCCTCCCCTACCTCTCAGTTGCTCCGCAACGCAGGGGAGCAGGTTTCCAATACTAATGGTACACACAAGTTCTCACCAACGGGTTTAAACCAAGACTATTTCAGCTTATCCATTGCAAGCCCTTCTTTACCCTTGGCCTCCACGGGAAAATTTGCACTAAATTCACTTCTCCAGCGACAGCTTATGCAGTCCTTCTACTCCAAGACAATGCAGGAAGCAGGAAGCACAAGCATGCTTTTCTCAACAGGTCACTTCAGCACAAACTCCATATCTTCCCAAAGTCCACTGCAGCAGCCAAGCCCGGACGTAAATGGCATGGCTCCTTCACCAAGCCAGTCCGAGAGCGCTGGAAGCGTCTCAGAAGGTGAAGATATAGACACTGCAGAAATTGCACGCCAAGTGAAAGAGCAATTGATCAAGCACAATATTGGGCAACGTATTTTTGGACATTATGTACTGGGACTATCACAAGGGTCTGTAAGTGAGATCCTGGCCAGGCCCAAACCTTGGAATAAATTAACTGTACGAGGAAAGGAGCCTTTCCACAAGATGAAGCAGTTCCTGTCCGATGAGCAGAACATCCTTGCACTACGGAGTATACAAGGCCGACAAAGAGGTGGGTGCAGACTATTTTCTATGCTTTGAGTAGTGTGTGCTTACTGCATATCACAGCTTTAGAACATTTCCATTCCCCAATCATCACTTTCATATCCACTTGCAGAAGACTAGTGGTTAATTTTCAGTTCTGTTAGAGGTGATATCACATCTACATTTGCAAACAATTTCTCATACCTATATTTGATTTTCAGGATGTTTTTATGAAGCAAAATACTTGAGAGAGACGCTTCAGATGGCTCAACCTTTTTAGCTTGGCTGACAGAGTCACAACAGTTCAAGGCTATATAATGCCTTTTTAGAAGTCAGATAACAATGCTTTCCATTTGAGGCTTCTCACACAGATATTTTGGTTGGTGATACATTCCATTTAAGTTCAGCTGATGTGCTGATGCCTTCAGACTTCCCATGGAAGGGATATAGGTCTGGTCCAGCAATCAATTGCCCTCACAGTGAATTACACTGGACTATTATTCCTTTGCATGGTGACATACACTGTAACCTTACCAGGTGGCATAATTGGATAGTGATCACTTGATTAGGCTGTTTTGCCAGATATGTCTCTGTCTGATCAAATAGCAGAAGGAGATAGTCTAAGTATTGTATGATGTTAATATTATGTAAATTCATGAGACCTTGAAAATTAATTCCGCAAGCTAATAGATGTAAGGTTACATCTGACCATTGATCATATGTTAATAAAGTACCAAGATACAATATTAATAAAGTACCAAGATATTCAATAAGGCTTAGAGCAATTACCACTAACAACCATTTAACAATCACTATTGTGACAGTTGTGAAAGGTTTGTCTGCTTGCTGGGAGTTACTGTTGACAATGACAATTGCTCTTTCTATCTTCATAATAAGCCTGTATCAGGTTTTAAAACAGAATGTAGTGCAATGGCAATTACTTACACTCATGCATGCATACATTGCTGTACATCCACTTATATGCACGATCTTCTAGTTAGCCTTGTTGCATAAAGATGGTTTGATACACAGCAACTCTGTACATAATTAGTTACTGGCCCAACATTCATGTTCTCTGCCATTCTTTTAGATTATTTGTTCTTTACATATAGATAAGTAAAGGCAAGCAAATGGATCTGTAAGATCCTGAAATTAGGTACGCTGGGGATTTCTAGATTAAATATAATTCTACAAATTCTGCTGGAGTAAATTCATTTTGATATTATTCTCCAATCACATGGATTGACATGCACAGAAAGCATAGCAGCACCAGATGTAGCTTGCTGATAGATCAAAGGGTATCTATTGACATATCATTGTATTAACTTATTCTATCATCTATGAGAAGACCTTTGGCATGTCCACCATAAACATAAACTGTGCAAGGCATGTTTGAGGATATGGCGCCTATTCTTCCACTGTCTTTGCAGTTCAGACAGGTAAAACATTACCAGACCCTACATGATTTTGACGTCTTCATGCTTTCGGTGACAATTACTGTTAAGCTGCCTGCAAACTTTTATAGCAAATACCTATAAATGGCTAAGTGAGATGAATTATCAGAACTAGCAAGATGACCCACCTCCATTTTTTCTATTTAGCAATACAAGAACAGGACCTGGAGATAAGTCTCATATGCAATGCAAGCACTTTAGCCTATGGAGCCTGTCTCCTCCATTCAGGCAATACACATTATTATTACACACAGTATATTGAATACTTGTTTAAACTAATGAATGCCACATCTGCCAGAAATTAAGTTATTATTATTAGTCAGGGGTGTGGACATTTAAAAAAAAAAAAACTACTTGCCCAAGGTCTAAAGCAGGGGCCCAATCTACATGTCCCGATACAAAAAATAGTTTTAATCAAAACCGTATTTTTTATCAAAACCGCGCTTCTCATTAGTCAGTGTGGTCACCTGACCATGGTGACCGATGAGTGCTCGCAATATGCGAGCGAAATTCAAAATGCATAGCCCAGGGCTGCACTGGACAGCAGTACAGGGTACAAATAGTACACCCGTACTGGCGGAGGGAAAGGACTGTTCACCGAAAGGTAAGGGGGAGAGACGGGACCAGATTTAACCCAGTAATTCCATTTTCCATTCCATTATGCATGCAAGAGAGTTCTGCTGCCCGGCTACCACAATATGGCACACAGTGGAATAAGGGCAGCACTCAGTGGACACACACACAATGTCTTTATTTGCATGCAGAATTGCAGATAGTGGGGGGGTGGCAGGGTTGGTTTTAATTTTTTTAAACATTTTATTTTATTCTTTTTGCTTTCTTATTATGTTTTACTTTTTCCCCACTTTTATTTTTTATATATTTTATTATGTTTTACTTTTTTTATCACTTTTTTTACATTTTTATTTATTATTTTTTACTTTTTTCATAATTTTATTGATATCACACAGGGGCTTACAAGCCCCTACGTGATTGTTTGGAGGTGACAGGTTCTCTTTATGGAACCTGGCCTCCCAACACATAACAGATCTGTGACAGGTGACGCTGTGATTACAGCACTCCGATCTCCCTGATCACACAGAGCGGAGAACAGACGTTCTTCGCTCTGCTTCCTGCTCTCTATCCTGAGCTCATTTGCCGTGGCCCCGGGTCCCCCAGAAGAGCGGGGGGCACCCAAAACCATGGCAGGGAGGGAGGGGCAGACAAACAGACTGGTACAAGTGATCTTATTAGAGATCACTTGTATAAAACGTACATTGGCTCCCCGCTCTATGTTTAGCTCTGCTTGCCCAAAGCAATGCTAAATGTTAAAAAAAAAAACTACCCGCCTGCTTGGAACTGCATGTCCTGCGTGTCGGGCGATAGGAATTTCACACCCCCGATTATATTCCCCACATGTCTACATTAAGCATCTGATATGTTCTAATGAATGTAAAGCCATGAGGCTGCTGTAAACACCTTAATGGGCCAGTAAACCCAAAACTGATATTTACGTTTTTGGTAGATGCTGGAGAGGTAAACCACCTGATAGTTTCTTATATTTCTCTTGATTATTTTATAATGATTTTTATATTATAAATAATTAATCTAGAATTTCCTGAACACAGAGGTGGATGAAAACACCCAAAACTCTCAGGTGTCTGGCATTATGAAAGGGAGAACCTACTGCTGGATTACTGCTAAATCTATAATAAGCTGGTGCAGACACCATAAAGATGACCATCCTAAAATACAGACCTTTTCAGATATTTCTGTTACTGGCCCCTGTCAACCCTTACTATTAGGCTTATTTAGTAGAGTATTGCAGAGAAATAGTGATGTAAAAAGGACAATGACACATAAGAACCAATGGGATTTCAGTTTAGATTAGGTGAGGTCCGATAATGGTTGCTGATGGTTACTGAACCGTGTACATTGCTCTTTGCCTTATTGAATAAGCCAGTATGTTGGGGACAATAGCAAGGACTGTTGCTAAGCATGCCAGTTACATCTTCGTAACAGATCTGGTATTTTAGATCAGCAATATTTACTGATGATGGCATAGTGCAAGAGCCGACCTAAATAATTAGTTCAAATAATATCTAAATAGCTAGGCCCTCACACAAAGTAACTGATGGTACATTTTGCTGATCTAGCAGATTAATTCTAAGACTGGCCACATACCTCACAAGCTGATAGTAGAGTTTCTGTTCAATAACCTATTATATTAGATTTGCCAACTACTATGCAGTGTAATGCAATCACATAGGCTCTTGCACTACAGAGTTGTCGATAAATCTCGTAGTATAGGCTGCTTAAGGAAAAAGTGACTGGTATGTGGCCATCTTAAGTTTCCCCATAAGGTTCAATGTTCTCCTCCAGGAAAGCAGTATGAAACAGTGCACGTTTAGCTCATGTGGGTTTCAGCATCACTGCAAATGCTCTCCAGCATTAGTGTTCATCCACATTAGATCTTCCATCATTTCATGTAACATAGCCCATAATGTAGAAAACAATCTGACAACCCCCGACTGTTTTGTTCTTACCAAACTCGTTTTTCAACAGAGAATCCAGGCCAGAACCTGAACAGACTGTTTCAGGAGGTACCGAAAAGAAGAAATGGGTCTGAAGGTACGTCACAAGCAGCTGTCTCTATGTTTGTAGCCAACCGTTCTGCTTCCACTTTTGCTGGGTAACCAAACAGGGGCATGTGATTCTGGCCTGGAATCTGATAGAAAAACAGCTGTAGTAAGTATAAAACACGGGCTCTCAGACATGGTCATAGTATGTTGTAAAACAAACTGCAGGTAAAGTTCTCTCCCCTATGGGTACTTGGTGGTAGACCTCAGTCAACATTGAAAATTAGACCTTAAAATGTGTGGGGAAGACGCAGCCTACCTGGTCAGAGTTGTTCATCAAGTCATAGCTGTATTACTCCAGCTCACTCCAACCCACTGCTCATAATACCTAAGCACTGAATCGTGCGATTATTGCAACGCTATGATGTGAATCCACTGTTGCTGGAATTGAAAATAAGGGAAAATTACCCAAATGGGGATACAGACCAGATTACAAACCTGACAGAAGTACTAACTCTTATTGACTCTTATTTTTCCAAGGGGTTCAGCTTTTAGGATTAAAGTATTGATAACTTGTCATTAAAGGTGCAGGATCTAGTGCTGTAATCTCAAACCTTGCTTTACTAAGTAGCAAATCTCTTACCTGTAAAACATATACCTACTGAAAGTGTGGGTCCAGCACAAAGTTTTTAGTTTTGGACATAGCAAAGTTTCTTTTAGTTTTGGATATAGCAAGGAAGGATTAGAGCCCCTTTCTTACTTTGCAAGTCTAAAGAAGAAATGAAATTCCAACATAGTCGTATCATCCGACACGCTTAAAAGGTAACCTTTTTATCCCATAGTTCTCTTAAGGGTCACGGGAGGACATATACTAGCGTCCTCCCGTGACCCAAAGCTCAGTATATAGTGGACTACAGCTCACTAAGTACTGAGAGCACCGCAGCCAGGACAAATCCTGACAATGCTGTCGAGATCCACCCAGCTGCCTGAGTGACAGCTGGCTCTGCCCATCTAGAGGCAGAGCCAGCTGTGCCCATCCCCTCCCTCGTCCGTTCCTTCAGTCAGCGCTGGAGCGGGGAAGGGGGAAATCCCTGCGGGGAGAGCTGACTGACAGTAACCGCTCTCTGCAGGGAGATGATCGGAAAAGTGAGCGATCGATGGTATGCGTTGGCTCACTTCTCGATCTATAGAGCCGGCGTGTGACAGTTTCATTGTCGCACGTCGGCTCAAACTATGAGGATGAGTGAAAATCACTCACCTCATAGTTCTGCTTTAATCATTGAGGTGTCTATGATTAAGCCTATCTGGTGGAACGCGTGAGAGCCTATGGGATCGGTGTGGGAGAATGTTGCTGTGTACTTGGACAGATTGAACTTTCAATAAATCTGATTCTTTTATGAATGTAGGATATGCAGCTCTATGTTGGAATTTCAGGATTTTTTGCCCCAGCACGTATGTTTGGAGCCTATACCTGATTGATGTGTCCTCTTTGGGCCGGGGTTGTCCGTGGTATTTTGAAATTCTATGATTCTAAAGAAGAAATGATACACAACGCCAGCAATTTGTTCCTATTTTGTGTGTGTTTTTTTCAAAACTTTTTTTTGTGAGATCAAAACTCTCTATTAAATAACAATTAGGACAATTTAAAAATGTAAAACATTTTTTTTATTGTTAGCGTTGGATAGGGCGAGAAAGGATTAGGGTTTTTACTGCTATCCGTGGCTCCTTTAGTGCCTGTTCACACCTTCGCGTTCCGTGAACGTCTTTCATGGAACGTGCCAAAAACATGCGTCTTGCTTGTGGTGCCATTACTTGTTAATGTCACCCCAAACGTGGCCAGGAAAACACGTGATCTGAAAGGGGGAGGGAGATGAGCTCATCAAGCTGCTGCTTCTCCTTCATTGCCAATCACAGGCTGGGTGGTAACTAAGCTGCATTACTTGTATGCAGTAGAGACAACCCAGCTGTTTGTGGCAGGTCGGTGTAAATCTTGGGAGAGGCTGGATAAAATTACAAATCTTTTGCAGGTAGAACCGCTCTCATGTACTGTATGTATTTGAACTAGGGATGTTCAGATACCAGTCTTGATACTTTGCATTTTCAAGAGAACTACCAGGGTTGCAGCTATTGCACCTGGGACCTGACTCTGGTGCTCCACCAGTGTCCTGAAATCATTAGTCTGTATTGTTTTAGAAAAACTGTCACATGACAATAAACAAAATGTATCAGTACTTGTATCTGTGAGTGTTTGGACAAGTATCATTACTGGTACTTGAAAAAATGGTATCGGTGCATCTCTGATTATATATTCATAAAAACAAAATTATACATTAAAACAGAGATGTGCAAATCTCAGGAGCTCCGTGTGCTCCTTAAAAATGACAGCTGCCTCCTAACTTTTACATTTCTCTCTAGTCTAGTCTTGGAGGTGGAAAAGTATCTGTACTTGTACCGAGTACGGTGCTGGGTATTTGAACTGTGTCTTTAGCTGTTTCCCTGTAGATCAGCCTTCCCAATAATGATATCTTGGCATAATAAAAACAACTGCAGAAGATATTAACTTAGATATAAATATCTATTTTTTTAGCATTTATCTTCTAGATAAATGGTTTGTTTGAATGTTAAGAGTCTCTTTGTGTGCTTACTGTTGGTGACAATAATCACTGATGTTCTTTTTGAAGGCGAAGTTCTCATATTGGAACATTGTACTTTTCTCATCAGTCTCTGCCTTAAGAGGAGTTTATGGTCTAATATCTCTACCCCACTCATAAACATTCATTAGGACCATTTGGCTAGATGCCAGCTACCCTTCAAATGGATTGGGGATGAATGTGAATCACCCTGGGGATATTTCATGGTGATGGCACCTTTTGGTTGCAGTAAAACCCAAGTGCATGAAGTCCAGGTTGTGATATACCAAGCCCACAGACAGATGGATAGGATTTTGGCATGACGAACATGATTTTGGCAGCATTCAGTTAAATGTCTTCATTTTAACTTTGATATTCGCTCCGTACATCTAGTCTTGATTTTTATGCCCATTTATGATTCAGAGGAATGTACTTTGCTAGATTTCCTGCAGGCCTTTAATTATTTGTCCTCTGAGAAGTAGCTGAATTATTCTTCTATTGGAGTCAAAGCTAGACCTCCTACTCATCCGTTAGCTTAATAAAGATTGAACAAGAAAGAACACACTGCTTCAGCAATTCTTGTTTTTTGTGGGGTTTTTTTTTTTGTTTTTTTATTTACATTTTGAAACCTACTGGAGCTGCAGTGTAAACTATAAACTGTGAAACAGATTTGAAAAGCATCATAAAATGTTTGTATTGCCCATAAATACACTTGCTAAATCTCTTGTGATGCTCACTCACATGATTATGACTCGGATGCCTGATTTCTGTATTGAGGGTGCCAGAGATCATTCAATTTCAGACACTGAAATACTCAAATACCAATAAATGTTGCCCAAGGGACACTTAAAACATGGCAAAATACAAAATGCACTTATTTTTACTTCTCTAGCCCAGGCTATTCCTTCCTTGATTAACCTAATGGTGTAGAAGAAAAAAATGATAGGCCTACTACTTAAACATTTGAGTTCCATAGGCTCCGCTACTTTCAGTAAACACTACATACTGTACATGAGATTTATTGTTGGCTGATTGGGTAAGTCTTTGTTTTCTGCACTGAGCTCTATAACTTTTTATGTACTAACATGATGGTACCATTGCTTTCTGGAAACAAACAGATATAATAGAAAAACTGGACATGCTAACGTCCCGAATGATATCTCATAATTTGATAAAGATGCCAGTTGCAGCACAACAAAGACTTTCATAAAAATAACTCAACATAATTGCCCCCCTCTTTTTGTTTTTTTCTGCCACTTGTAGCTGTTGAGCTGCAAAGGAGCATGGGTATGAAGCCTTTATTACATCACTAACAGAATACTAATTAATCTTATTAAACTAATTCATATATCTTGTCTTAGGAGCTATTTATATAGCTTTAGAACATCTCACTGATGGAAGAGATCACTTGTGGCAGATGTGCCGAGTTGCCTTACTGAATGAATTCAAGGCTGCAGAAAATTATGCAAATAGGTGGCTAATATGAAATGTATGTTATAGCTCATTGCAACCTAAAGTGGACCTAAACCTGTCCACTTTAGCCAATCAGGGAGACACTGGAGGAAGTGTAGGGGCAATTAATGAAATATTTGCCTCCTTGTTTAGCTTTAAAGAAATCTGTCAGGATAGAAATGTGTGAACGGCTGTTGTCGGTATGAACGGGTCAAGGGCCACCTAAATTATAATAGTTGCCATCTTGTCAACTGCATGACCTCACACACTGCCATCTTCTAAGCTTAAAGTGTGTGAAAGCAACAACTGTCAGACTTAAGGTGACCTCTGACCTCCAGACACTCCAGCTGAATAGTCAGATTCAGACAAAGTAATTAATGCTAAATAAAAAGGGACGTATAAAGCCTCTATCAGTAAGCCTGCACAAGCTTATAGTGAGTTAGGTATCGTAAGATCCACCACTAAATCTACTTTAGTATTGACATGCAAATTCTTACCAAAGCTGAACCCACGGAAAATGGGTACATAGTTGAAATACATTTTTTTTAGTTGCTCTACCTGCCAGAGGATTCTATGCATGTAGTATTCAGAACCAGGTACCCGTGCCAGCTAAATCATAGCTTAATTAAGGGCACTGGTCAGAATACACTCTAGCCTGGCTGGACAATGAAGCAATGTACAATGAAACAGCACGCTGATCACATCATCCCTCACACTGCCCTCTCCCCTGTCAGCACGTTCAGTTCCCACGTTCCCAAGAATTAATTTCTGCTATTTGCTTCCTTTTGATTTGTTGAATATACAATTGAAATCTTTTGTTTAATACAGTTGTGCTCAAAAGTTTGCATACCCTTGGAGAACTGGTAATATATGTACCATTTTTAAAGAAAACATGAGTGAGCAGGCAAACACTTTTTTTATTTCTTATGGGATTCATATTCAACTGTAGGTCATAACAGAATGGCACAAT